TCGGCTGCTCATTTCCCCCCTCCCTCCCTCATAAACCCTTCATAATTCATAAATTATTATTATTTTGTCATATGTTACACTGTCCGACATCTCCCACTGCCCTCTTCTCTTATTGGCCAGTATCTTGTTAAGGATTTTTGCATCAGTGTTCATTAGGGATATTGGTCCATAGTTCTCAATTCTTGTGGGATCCTTGCCTGGTTTAGGTTTCAGGGTTATACTAGCCTCATAAAAAGAGTCTGGGACTTGCTGTCTTTTTCCATGTTCTAGAAGAGTTTGTGTAGGATTGGTGTCAGATCTCCCCTGAATGTTTGGTAGAATTCTCCTGTAAAGCTGTTGGTCCAGGGGATTTTTTTGTTGGTAATCCCTTGATAACCTTGTCTATATCTTCTATTGCTATGGGTCTGTTGAGATTCTAGACATCCATCTGGGATAGTCTAGGGAGGGAGTATTTTTCCAAGTATTTGTCCATGTCATCCAAGTTGTTGAATTCATTGGATTACAGGCCTTCATAGTACTGTGTAATTATCCTTTTGATTACATTAGGGTCCATTGTAATGTCCCGTTTCATCCCTCATCCTTGCTAATGAAAGTTGTTCCGTCTCTCTCCCGCACCCTCCTCCCCCATCCCCTCCCTCCCCTCCCCGTCTCTTCACCCCCTCTTCTCCCTCCCCCTCGCAGAAAAAAAAAGTTGTTCCTTCCTTTCTTTGGTTAGGTTTGCTGAGCTGTCTGTTGATTCTGTTAATCCTTTCAAAGAACCAACTGTTTGCAGCATTTTTTCCATAGTTTTTTTTCCCTCTCATGAATCTCAGCCCTGATTTATATTATTCCTTTTCTTTTGCTATTAGTATGGTTGTCCTGTTAACACTGCTCTAATTGCTGTAAATTTTGTGCCAATATATCAATCTTAAGTCTCTCTTCCTTTTTCATGAGTGCATGTATTGCTATGAAACTTCCTCTGATAACTGCCTTTGTGTGTCCCAAAGGTTTTGGAACATCGTATTCTCATTCTCATTGGTTTCTAGAAATTTCCTAATTTCATCTCTGATCTGGGCCAGTACCCACTCCTTTTGCAGTAGAGAGTTATTCATCCTCCAATTATTTTCCCTTGTTTTCTTCATCATCCTTTTGTTGATTTCTAGCCTTATGGCATAGTGGTCAGAGAGGTCTGTATTATCTCAATGTGCTTGAGTTTATACCGATTCTACTTGTGTCCCAGCAGGTGATCTATCTTCAGGATATGCCATGTGGCCTTGAAAAGAATGTGAAATGTTTTGCATTTGGGTGGAGAGCTCTGTAAATATCTATCAGGTCAAGTCCTCTAATTGTAATGTATAGATCTTTAGCTTCCTTGTTAAGCTTCTTTCCCTGTGGTCTATCTTTCTCAGAGACAGATGTATTAAAGTCACCTATCATAATTGTTGAGCCTGTGATTTCTTTTCTCATCTTTTGGAGTGTTTGACAAATTTTGCGGTCTCTTGTTGTATGCATATTTATTATGCTTACTGGTCTACTGTCACCTTGAGCATTATATACTGCCCCTCCTTATCTCTTGTTATGGCTTGCCCCTTGAGATCAATTTCATCAGAGATTAGGATTGCAACCCCTGCTTTTTGTGAATTGCTATTTGCTTGGTATGTTTTCCTCCAGTCTTTGATTCACAGCCTATTTTCAGAGATATTCTAAAATGTTATTTTATCCTGTCAAAACAGCTGATAATTATCAGTTAAGTGACAGATGTGTTACAAACCCTACTACAAATTACCTCTACTCTTTAGAATACTCACAGCCATCAAGTAGATTCTGCCTCATAGTGACCTATAGGGCAGAGTAGAACTGCTCCCTAAGATTTCTGGAGCTCTAATTTTTTTTTTTTTGAGGCTCTAAATCTTTAAAGCAGCAGAGCACCTCCTTTCTCCTTTGGAGCAGTTGGCGGATTTGAACTTCTGACCTAGAGGCGGGCAACCTGATGTTTAAGCCAATGTCTCTTTAGAATACTCAGTGGTAATTCAGTGATAAAAACTTAGTACAGGGGCCATCTAGCTCAGAAGCAACAAAGCCCACATGGAAGAAGCATACCAGACTGTGTGATCACAAGAGGTGTCGAACGGATGAGGTTTCAGGAGGCATCATCAGAACAAAAAAATCATATCATTGTGAATAAGGGGGGTGCAGACTGGAGACCCAAAGCCCAGGTGTAGGAATTGGACATCCCCTTATGGAAGCTTCGCTGGGAGGAGACGAGCCAGTCAGGGTGCAGTGTAGTAACAACGAAACATACAACTTTCCTCTAGTTCCTAAATGCTTCCTCTCCCCATCCCCCCCACTATCATGATCCTAGTTCTACCTTACAAATCTGGCTAGACCAGAGGATGTACACTGGTACAGATAGGAACTGGAAACAAAGGGAATCCAGGACAGATGATTCCCTTCAGGACCAGTGTTGAGAGTGGCGATACCGGGAGGGTGGAGGAAGAGTGGGGTGGAAAGGGGGAACCGATTACAAGGATCTACATGTGACCTTCTCCCTGGGGGAGAAACAGAAAAGTGGGTGAAGGGAGACATCGGACAGGACAAGATATGACAAAATAATAATATATAAATTATCAAGGGTTCATGAGGGAGGGGGGAGCGGGAAAATGATGAACTGATGCCAGCAGCTTAAGTGGAGAGCAAATGTTTTGAGAATGATGAGGGAAATGAATGTACAAATGTGCTTTACACAATTGATGTATGTATGGATTGTGATGAGTTGTATGAGCCCCCAATAAAATGATTTTAAAAAAATTTAGTACAGGTACACACTTAACAACCATGATTCCTTTTGTGAAATGGGATATTATGTGACTTGGACATTGTGGAAACAACTGTGTCACTAGGGGATCCCAGGTTCACTGGCCCAGGGGCTGCTTTAAGTCCCCAGGTATCTCACTTTAGAAACCTCAGTGATCTGTAGGATCCCACCCACTGGGCTATTGCCACTTTCTCTGCTAACCAGTTACAAAGAAGGTTAGCTTGCCTGTGAGGACCTACCTAGGGAGAGAGGGGTACAGACCAAAGAGGCCCAGGACAGCTGAGTCAGGGATAGTGTACACTACGGGACCACAATGAACAAACAGTTACTAGACTCACCAAGTCACAGGATCTGAGGGTGAACTGCAGTGGAGTTCAAGGCTGACTTTCCACTCCACAGCCAATGACTAGGTGACTTCCTGCTGTGTGCGAGAGGCTCAAAATAAGGGCCTGGTGGCCCAGCCCATAGGGCTATATACAGCTGGTAATACATACCTGTAAGCTGTTTCTAAGTCATTGCTTTTGTGCGAGGCGGAAATCTTTACAGAATAGGAAGATCGCCAGGTCTTTTCTCCTGCAGAGCTGCTGGTGGGTTCAAAGTCATGCCCAAACTACATGTTACGTATTAAACCAACAGGAGTGTTCACGGTTAGACTACTGGGGGGAAAGATGTATTTGACGAGGTTTCTTTATAAGGAATATTTTCTTACTGCAAATAAACGTGCTGAGAGAATTAAGACTCTAGCTCAGTGGTTTCAACCTTCCTAATGCCACGACCCTTTAGTAGTTCACGTTGTGGTGACCACCCAACCATAAAATTATTTTTGTTGCTACTTCATAACTGTAATTTTGCTGTTATGAAGTAGACGACCCTGTGAAAGGGTCGTTCAACCCTCAAAGGGGCCACGACCCACAGGTTGAGACCCGCTGCTCTTGTCTTTAGACCAGCTAGGAATTCATTTTGTAAAATCATGCTTCCCTTAGCCTGTTATACCTCGTCTTCTCTAGGCAGGAGTACAAGACTTAGGAATTCCAATATAAATGATAGAAAGGAGCAGGTATATGATCTGGGCATCAAATTTTCAGCTCGATGATCATTCATAAATTATATGAATGAATTTGAGTCCCAGATGATAGCCTAATTTTCCTTTCACACTAACCTTAAGACAGGAAAGCCATTTAAGAAGTTGTATAGCATTTTGAAAGGAGCCTGGATGGCTCTGTGGGATAAGCATTGGACTACAAGTTTGATTGTTCAAACCCACCAGATTAGTTTTAACCATTGAATACAAATTTCATGATGTGAAATGTAAACCTCACCTAATTTACAATTAAAAAATCTAAAAATATATAAAGCACACTGTATTATATGACCCTGCCCACTGCCCAAAAAGACTGTTTTAGAAACTCTAAGGCAGGGGTCCTCAAACGTTTTAAAGCAGGGGGCCAGTTCACTGTCCCTCAGACTCGTTGGAGGGCCGGACTATAGTTTTAAAAAAACTATGAACAAATTCCTATGCACACTGCACATCTTATTTTGAAATAAAAAAACAGGGCAAAAACACCTGGCAGGCCACATGTGGATGCCTGTTCTAAGGAGTTCTATTCTGCCTGATAGAGTTGCTGAGTCAGGTCTAGATGGTAGCGGGGTTCTAATAGCATTTTGACTTTAATATTAACACAAAGGTAAAAAAATGATGATCATGCTTGGTTGTATTTATAGGAAACAAAGAAAACATACAGTAATAATTTCAAATGCATTTTATTTCTTCAATAATGCCACATGTGGTGCTTTTACTTGAATCAATTTAAAAGTTGATTTTGAAACAATTCAGTATTACACCACCAGCTGATTTGATTTCTAATCTCTCCATTCCTTTGGGGTGACTCTGCCAATAGGGGACAGGTTCCATTGGATTCCAACTTGTGTTGCTGTCTGTAAGAATGAAAATGCTGTTATGCATGCTTAAAACATAATCTACTGTTCCTTTAAGTGCATTTATTACGTGACAATGGTATTCTACAGACTGAAAACATACAAACTCGTCTGGAATATAGTGCCTTCCATGTAGTCCAAACTTAATAGTGATCCTGATTTATTTAACAGAGCAGTACTGCTCAACACAAGGTTTCACAAAGTTTATGGGGAAAAATGGAACATTCCCACAAACTTTCTAAAGACCCCATATAACTTCCAAAATAATGAAGTTTTTGTACATCTACTGTCCAATATAGTAACCACCAGCCACACGAATACTTGAAATATGGCTAATGTGACTGAGGAACTGAGTTTTTAATTTTATTTAACTTAACTAATTCTAATTTATATCTCACATTTCTACACTACTTCCTCAAAACATTGATTCTGTCAGCAACAACTATGAAAAGAATTGTCAAAGACCCTATTGTAATATCCCTTCACCATTAAGGAGCACTTCTTCCAAAAGCTCCTTTAAAGACAACACCTGTTTATCTTTATAATTATGTGTATTTCATTTCAGAAAGATGTAAACAAAGATGGGAAAGGCCTATCAACGTTTATTTAGTCAAATTTATTTATTTACTGGAAGTAACTTGAGAATTCCTACTTTTAACAAGTACAGCGACTAGTAATTTGCTTAATGAAGATGTAGAAACTGAAATATTGGTTGCTCAAGTCTTTTAAAAGATATTTAACTACTGAATTGTAGATAAACGAATTTTTTTTAAATGAAAACATTGGAAGCAAATTACATCTCATTTATCCAAAATACTGTATTCAGTTTCTCAGTGTAAAATTTTAGGAGGAAATATTGGCTATACGAAGTGTGTCCAATAAGGGTGTCCAAGAGAGTAAAAATCCTGAAAGTCATATAACAATAATCAATTTTCTAACAGCAAGCAGCTGTTATATGGAAACGGAATCAGAATTTTTGTGTTACGATGGAATGGTGAGTAGAATATAAAGAGGCAGATTTTAAGAAAACACAAGATCCCATTTAAAGCTACATTATATGGAAAGGGCTGCTTTGTGATCCAGTGAGAAACTTGTTATTGGAAATGTTACGTAATGAATGATGAATGTTCCAGAAGAAATTGGTGCATTTAGGCAGGTAGTTAGAGAATCTCTAAAAATTTCTCTGAACTATAAATGTATGCTGCTGTATTAAAATATCAAAGCATGATCCAAACAACTAAAAGCATGTAAAATAAAAATTACCAGTGAAAATTACTTACATATGTCCAGACAGCAATACAGAAAGTAGCTCCACTAGCTAAAATAGCATTACCATATTTGTCATGGAAATCAGGTGCCCGTTTCTGGTGGCTATGCCTTGCCATTGCTTGCTGAATGCTTCGCACTTAAAAAAAAATACAGAAGCACATCTATTATCAGAAAATGAGACCATACACAATTAATATTGCCAATCAAGAAAGCAAAGCTAAAAGCGAAGTAGTATACTTTGAAACACATCAAAAATAAGATGAAAGTGATAAAACAAATATAAAAAATGCTAACCCTACCATCTAGGTGGCAAATAAATGGGTGTTCACCATGTATTTCTTCCATGTTTCCTATATGCTTGAAAAGTTTTATAACAAAATATTGGGGGAAAGCAAAGCAATGGTGATACAACATTTACTTCAAATTAGTATTTGTACAGCCTTTGTAACTTTTATTAACTTGAATAGTTATGTCTTACATTTTCACTAAAGTTTACTCAAAAGTGTTCAACAACTTATACTTATGAGAAAAAATAAACCCAAAATGAACTTCAAATTTAAGCACACTAAATATTTATGATCTTAAAAAAATTTTAAAGGGAAGTATTTAAATTACTAATGAATAAAGCATCATGCTAAAAAAAAAAAGAGTATAAAGTAGTATGTAAGAAGCAGATATAAGATGCAGACCACGTTCCTCAGGAAACTTCTAGTGTAAATGAGATTAGATAATGTAGACACAAATCACTCTTACACAAAGAATTTTATCTAGCAAAACACTTTGAATGGCAGGCAGGTATGATTTAGTTGTGTAGATATCAGAAAGAGGTATCTGAATAAAGGCAGAAACAGAAAAGCCCAGTGCCACCAATTAAGTTCGGTAGATGAATAAGATGCATAAACATGTCAAGAGGATTAAACTAAAAAGAATCGTGATGGGTTCTCAATACTGGGCCACTCTTTCTGGTAGACAAGGGGTAAAGGTATTATTGAGCAGAATGACAAGATTATAACTTTAATCTTACTGTTATTCTAGTGAAAAGATAAAGGATTGTTCTCAAATGGTCTCTTGTGAAATACATATGAAAGCATGCTAGAGAAACGGTGAGGCAGTCCACTCTCTACTAGTCCTTTAAGAACAACAGCCTCTATAGGCTATAGAAGACAGTGGGAGCCCAAAATTCACCTGCAGAGTCCCTATTTGGATGAAGCCCCTGGCAGATCCCTTCTGGCCAGTCAAGGGACATGAGAAGCTTTAATATCAGACAAGCTATTACTGTAAACTTGATTATGGTGGATGGAACTACAGTATAAAATGATACCTAGTCTGTTGAATTCCCTCTTGACCCATCCTGAATTTGCTCTAGGTTTAATTATTTCTCATTTGTTCCAATAAAGAAATTTTCTCTCTGGCTTATCTTAACACAGCTGGTGGTCTTTTCTTTCTCAAACTCTCCCCCTCCACCGCGTTTTGTTTTTTATTGTTTCTTCTGTTTCCCAGTTTATGGAGCACACTAAGAGCGGATGCGTAGAGACAATGACTGATGTAAAAGCTCATTGGGGACTGGGTGTGGGGGAGGGATGAATACAGGAGAGGGGAGGGTGCACTAGAACTGATTGATGAAGTATACACAACTCTTTAAAAGCAACTGAACTGTGGAAGCATATGGGAATTTTAAATCAATAAAACAATTTTAAAGAAACAACAAAATGACTTCTATGTGACACAAAGGGTTGAGGGTTATGGTTTCTTCTCATGAAGGCTTTATGCTGCTTTTTGTTTTCAATTTTAGTGATACCCAAGATGAGCATCAACCTTGGGAGAAAAATTAGTCTTTCTAGTCCCATGAAGATCAGTCTCGGAGACCCCCAGCTGCAGTTCTACCCTGTCCTACAGGGTCACCTTAAATCCCAATAGACTCCTCGGCAAGTGAATTTGAGAGAAGATCAGCAACTCTGCGAACATTCCGCAATAAATTCTATACTAAAAGAGTTTAAACAACAAAATCCTTCCCTCAGGTATGCTAAAGGAGCTCTGGTGAGCACTGGTTGGAGCCCACCAACTACCCTGAAGGAGAAAGATGAGGTTGTTTGCTCCCTTAAAAACCCTTTGGGTAGACAACTGGACATACCTTGCAGAGGGGGAGTGGGGAGATGAGTTACTTAGGGTTCAGTATAGCAATAATGAAACCCACAACCTTCCTCTAGTTCTTAAACGCTTCCTCCCCCCAACTACCAGGACCCCAATTTTGCCTTGCAGACCTGGTTAAACCAGATGAAGCACAGCGGTACAGATGGGAATTGGAAACGCAGGGAATCTAGGACAGAAGAACCCCTCAGGACCAGGGGTGACAGTGGCAATACCAGGAGGGAAAGGGGATGTAGAAAGGGGGAATGGATCACAGGGAGCTACATATAACCTCCTCTCTGGGGGACGGGCAGCAGAGGGGTGGGTGAAAGGAGACGCTGGACTGTGTAATATAAGATACAATAATAATTTATAAATTATCAAGGGTGCATGGGGGAGAGGGGTGGAGGAAGGGAAAAAAGGAAAATGAGCTGATTCCGGGAACCCAAGAGGAAAGCGAATTTTGGGAATAATGAGGGCAACAAATGTATAGATGTGCTTTACACAATTAATCTATGCTTTGTGATGAATTGTATGAGCCCCAATAAATGGATTTAAAAAACAAACAAACAAAAACCCTTTGGGCCAGTTATCCTCTGAATTACCGGGGTGGAATGCACTTGCAAGGTGTGCTGTTTTTTGTTTACAAAGAAGTCAGTTTCAGAGACGTTCGCTCAAAATGAAAGGAATAATAGAAATGCAGCTTTTGGAACATGAGAAACAAGCCAGTGACTATTTATTGGTTCTTTTCAAAGGCATTTAAATGTGAAGAACACATTCTGGTAATGCCCTTAAGATTTTTAAGAGGGGGGCCGGGGAGCGGAAGCCTAAAGTCATTAATTGCTTAATGGGTCACCTTGACTATTAAAAAGGGCCACCCACGTGGTAAGAATTGCTCAAGGTCACCTTCAATGCAAATCATATAAATATTAACTGATCTCTCTTCTCTCGCTCTAATCCAGTACATTCTCAATAAACAATGCTGATCCCAAATATTCCTGGACCTGCCTAGGTGACAATGTTTTCTTAATGGCCGTGACTGTTCTCAGTTAATAACCCACAAGTAAACTTAAACGTTGCAGCACTACCAATCAAGTTGTCTGCAATAAATCAGGTGAAAAGCTAGATTACATTTCCTTGCGTGATGGCTACAACATTTGGAGAGGCGGTTCTATCTGGGGTTAGGAGTAGTAAATGCACCGCTATGGCTGAAGTTTAGGGGAGCCTCAAGGAACCAGAAACATTCACCAAGAACATCCTCTTCGATCGTACGTAGGGCTAAGCTGTGACTCACTCTGATAACTGGGAGCTGAGAACCTAAGGAAAAACGGCGTTAGGAGGCCAAAGCCTGCGTTGGGTCCTCCCGATCATCGAGCCGATGCCGACTCACAGCGATCCTACAGGCCCTTGCGGTGGGTGGGGGATGGAAAGTCAGGCTGAAGGACTACGTGTTTTAGAATTAGAAAGCTAGGAAGTGGGTGAAGGCAAAGGGCACAATTCACAAAGGCGAATGGACATAAGGCTCCTGGAAAGTATTCGTTTACTCACTTTGAAGACGACTTAGTGCGTTTTTGGCCAAGGGAAACATCGCGAAGAAGTTCACGGCAGTACGGCACCTGCGGCGGCTGGCTCTGAGAAATTCGCGTCCGGCACCCTTGCAGAGAGGTCTGAAAAACAAAATGGCTGCCGAAGAATGAGATTTGATAAAGTCTCGCGATAACTAAAAAATCCCCCTGAAATGGTCCTTCTCTTTGCGGCAAGGAGAGACAACGGGCTTTTGGGAAATGTAGTTTCCGACTTTGTCACTGACACGTGGTGGTGTTTAATAATCAGAGAACCTCTTGAAACTAGTTTTGGAACCGGGTGGCGCTAGTGCACTAACTTCAAGGTGCGCAGTTCGAACCCACCAGCAGCTCATGGGAAAACACTAAGACTATCTTCTCCAGTAAAGATTACAGTCTCAGAAACCCTTGTGAGTTGGAATCTACTTGGTGGCAGAAATGACCGGAAACACTGACCTTAACTTCAGCTGAGTAGTCTAAAGCACCAATTTCAAGATAGTCTTAAGGTTTGGGTTTTTTTTAATTTTGCTCCACATTAGCTAGTTCTTTCTCTCCCCTCCAAAACGGTCTTTAGGTTTTATATACGATACCGTGGGTGGCAGTGGGCTATGCAGTGGGCTGCTAACAAATTGTAAACCACCAGCTGCTCTGAGGGAGAAAGATGAGGCTTTCTACTTAATTGCAGTCTTGGAAACCCATAGGGGCAATTCGACTCTGTCCTGTAGGATCGCTAACAGTCAGAAGCCGTGAGTTTTGAGTGTGGGTGTCTTTGAGTTCTAGCAATGTGTCTTTCCTGATAATATGTCCAAAGTAAGCTAGCAGAAGTCTCACAGCCTTCACTTCTACGTCAGAATCAACTCGAGGACAGCGAGGGTGGTTTTTTGAGTTTAAACAGTTAAAACCCACCAGCCACTCTGCTCCCTTAAAGACATTCTTGGAAGGGCCACTCATAATTAACTCCATGGAAGAGGGTTTGGGGGTTTGGTGCAAATGGGTGAGTGCTTTTGCAATGATTGGCAGTCTGAACCCACCTAGAGGATCCTTCAAAGATAGCCCTAGAGATCTGCACACAAAAGGTCACAACCTTGAAAATTCTATGGAACACAGCCCTACTCTGACTCATAGAAGGTCGCCATTAGGTAGAATCAACTCAACAACAATTAGCAAGTCTCTCACTGGTGCAAATGGTTAGCATGCCTGGCCACTAGCTGAAAGAATGGAGGTTCCATCTAGTTCTAGAGGCTCCTTGAGAGAAAGGCCTACAAACTTCAGGCACTGACAACCCTAGGGAGCACAGTACTGCTCCTGGTGGTGTCTCCATAAGCTGAAATTGATTACATGGAATCTTTTTTTGGTTTGCTTTACTGCATGCAAATGGCTTAAATTTGTATTTTGAAATAATTTTTAATGTACTGAAAAGCTGCAAGAGTAGTAAAAAGAACACTAATATGTGGGTAAATATGTGGTAAAGTGAACATAACAAATTGTTGATTGCATTATCTTGTGGATTGATGTTCACAATACAATTCTTTACATTTTTCTATATGTTTTAATATTTCCATAAATAGCAAAATATTGAGGGAAGACTCCCTGTATTTTCTTTACCTGGGAACACTAATTGGAACTATTTAGCCCCATTTGTTCCTCTCTCTCTGTAAGTCAGAAAGTATTACTACTAGGATTCCAGTTCATATATGCCTCGGTTCACTCCAAACAACATATGTTTAAACATGCCTCTGCAATCAATGCATGGCTACAGGCATGTTTCTCTCAGTAATATTTACACTCATACACTTAGTCTTAGGCTCTTTAGGGTGCCTTTAAAAAAAAGATACTTTTGGGTGTGGTGGAAAAAGTGATATGAGGTCAGGGCTAATACCAAATCTTCAACAAAATTCAAGTGGACATCCTCCCAAATCACTGAAAGTTTGCAACAGATTTCCAGGAATGCTGTACCACGTCAAACAGCAGTTTGGGTTGGTTTTTTTTAAAGAAAACTTTGTATTGTGCACTGGATAAAGGTTTGCAAAGCAGATCAGCTTCACATTCAACAAATCATACATCCTTGTTTCTCACTGATTGCAATCCCCATAACAAGTTTTCGATGTACCAGGTATATTAAGGAAAGCTTGTTGGGAAGGCCTCAGTGATGAATGTAAGGCAGAGAGGTAAGCTAAGAGGGTTATGGTGATTTTTTTAAATTCCAAAAGTATAATCTATTTTTTAAAACTCATTTTACTGGGGACTCTTACAGCTCTTATAACAATCCATAAATCAATTGTATCAAGCACATTTGTACATATGTTGCCATCATCATGTTCTAAATATTTACTTTCTACTTGAGCCCTTGATATCAGCTCCTTTTTCCCTCCCTCCACCCTCCTACACTCGTGACCCCTTGATAAATTATATTCTCATATCTTATATGACTGCTGTCTCCCTTCACCCATGTCTTTTGTTCATCCCCGTGGGAGGGGGTAAGCATGAATCATTGTAATCAGTTCTCCCTTCTTCCCCTCCTCCACCTACTTTCACCCTACCCTTCTGGTATCGCTACTCCAATTTCTGTTCCTGAGGGGTTTATCTGACCTGGATTCCATGTGTCCTGAGCTCTTATCTAGACCAGTGGACATGCTCTGGTCTAGCCAGAACTGAAAGGCAGGACTGAGCTCATGACAGTGGTGGGTGAGGAAGCCTCAAAGAGCCAGAGGAACAATGTGTGTTTCATCGGAGTGCCCTGGTTGACTCATCCCTTCCTTGTGATCCTTCTGTGAGGGGATGCCCCATTGTCTACAGATGGATTTTGGGTCTCTGCTCTGACCCCTTCTTCTCAACAATATGCTTTGTTTTGGGTCTTCTGATGCCTGTTACCTGATTCCATCGACACCTCATGATTGCACAGGCTGGTGTGCTTCTTCCATGTGGGCTTGTTACTTCTTGTGCCTGCTTTAAGACCCCAAACCCTATATTTTTTTATAACTGGGCACCATCTACTTTCTTCACCACTTTTGCTTATGCACCCATTTGTTTTCAGCAATCATATTGGGAGGGTGAGCATCACAGAATGTCAAGGTGTTAGAACAAAGTGTTCTTGAATTGAGGGAGGGCTTGAGCAGAGTTCCAAACTCGGCCCACTTCCCCAATTTATTGCCATATAAATATGTATATGGCCAATATCTCTATTTTTATGAATTAATGTATTTATATATGTACACACCTATGCTTATAACTCTATCCATAGCTTTGCTTCCTAGATCTTTCCTCTGTTTCTTTTACCTTTCTCCTGCCCCACCATCACACTCGCCCTCTTCTGCCTTTAGTAATTCCTTTTCAGTTAGATTGCTGTTGCTCCAACAATTCCCTAGTTGTTTCCCTGTCTATGGCATTGTTTGCTCACTGCTCCTTTCCCCTGCCTCCTCCTCCCCACAAGTCCCGCCGAAACCATTGGTGCCATTGCTTTCTCCTCCGGCTTGCTTCCTATGCTTATCTTATATAGGTAAGCAAAACAACAATAACAGAGACAAAACAAAAGATTGAATTAAAAGTGAAAATACAAAAGAAAAAGCTAGCAACCCCCCTCCTCCCAAAAAAGCATACGTGATTCCAGTTCTGTTCCACTGACCTTTATGGCTATCTCCCCACCAGACCTGTGGGCTTACAGTAAGCGGCCCTGCTAGCCTGAAGTCTGTTTTGGGGGTTCCTCAAGGGCTTTGTGGCTTTCCTTTGCTCCAGTTGATGATCTGTTATGTTCCATTCTTGGTTCGCCCTGCTGTGGGGGTGGTCAGACCAGATTCACTCCCCACAAAAGTATAATCTTGATAGATTTTCTTGAAAGACACAGTGAGATCACCAGAGCTTATTAGAAAGAAGTTTAAAAAGAAAGAAAGAAAGAAAGAAGTTTTAAAACTGCGTTGTTGAGAAATAGGCCAGGAAAGTTGTACCGAGTATTGAGGATCTTCCCTCTCCCCCCCATCAACACAGTACACCTGCTTATTCTTCCAGGATAAGAATTTTGTTGAGAAACCTTACCCCATTCACCCTATCTACAGCCTTGTCCTTGCCCTTTCAGACTTCTTTTTGCTCATAAAAATCAAAGAGCATTTCAAAGGCGCATGATCCCTCAAGAATGCCAACATTATTGCTCTCAAAGAGCGCAAACATCTTTGAGGAAGGGTTAGAGATGGAAACACTGCCTTCAGAAGTCTCTAGACCTCGGTGGATGCTGAGAAACAATAGATACACGTTTTGATATTTTTTTTTTAATAAAGGTCTCTATGATTTTGTAGCAAGTTTTTTTTAAAACTCTCTTGTGTATATGTGTGTGTATGCGAGTGTGTGCGCAGCTGTTTCTTCAGATTTTTGAGGCATGCGCCATTAGCAGGTGAAGGTCCCTAAAGTGTTGCTCCATCCACCTCATTACGATTTACACTTTTGAGGCGACAGCTCGTCATCCTTCATCATATTTTGAGTGCCTACCAACCTGAGGGGCTCATCTTCTAGGATTCTAACAATGTTCCAGCACTAGTCACAAAGTTTTCCATGGCTAATCCCTCAGAAGTGAACCACCTATTCCTTCTTAGTCTGGAAGCTCTGCTGAAGCATATTCACCGTGGGTGAGCCTGCTGGTATTTGAAATCCCCATGGCATTATAGCAATAGGCAAGCCACCACTGTACAAGCTGACAGATGTGTGTGCGTGTGTGCATAGAGTTCGTGGGATATAGATATGTATTTCAAAGAAATTGTGTGGTCTAGGCAGTTCCAGATCCATGGGTCATGTAGCAGGCTGTTGGTTCATGGGGTTGTGGGAGCTGAAAAATCCAAAATTTGCAGGAAGGGAGCAGGATACAGGCTTTTCGCATCCCAAGAACTGGACATCAGATGGGATGAGTGCAGGAGAGAATAAGAAAGAGAGAGAGAGACTTTTTGAGAATATATTCCATTATATATGACTGCCCATTGTTTATGACTGCCACCTTTGCCACGAGACCAGAAGTACTGGATGGTGCTCACCTACCATTACTGAATATTTTGATCAAGAATTCTGTAGAAGAATCCTGACTGAAAGGGGAAAATGAAAAATAGAATTTCAAATTCATGGT